CTCCAACTCCAGCTGCTCCTCACGAGCACGGCGAACACGAGCCTGGAACCTGGTCGGGTAGGGGTGGGGGGAAGGAGTAGTGTCCGGGGCAGCGGCAGCCCCAGAGTCGACCTCCGAAGCACCAAGCACACCACCCCCAGAGGCAGCACCAACACCAGCTCCAGACCCAGGCTCTCCAGAAACCGAAGGAACACCCTCACCCCCAGACGCAGCACCCCCAGACTCCGCACCAGCACCCCCAGACTCCGCACGACCAGTACCAGCCCCCGGAAGAGAAGAGTCCTCTGCAACCCGCGGCTCAGCTCCAACTCCAGCACCCCCAGAACCAGAGACCTGTACAGGGACAGTCGCAGGACCAACCTCCCGAGAGGGAGCACCTACAGGAGGCGGTGAGGAAGACTGTGGGGAGGGAGGCTGTACAGGGGGGGCTACCGAAGGGGGAGGGCTAGCCTGAGACACACCAGACGGGGCTGGACCAGGGGGGGGAGGCTGTACCGGGGGAGCAGGCGGGGGAGCGGCTGTCAGGAAGAGGGGGGGAGGAGGAACCGGGAGACCTCGACTGGGGTACCTGACGTAGTACGGGGTGGACTCCTCGAAACGGACGTCACGGGAGTCAAAGAACCGGTGAGAGGGAGGGTGGTAAAAGGTGAAGTCAGAGGAGTCCTCAGGGAAACCAAGGAAGACACAAGGAACGGCGCGAGGCGAGAGCTTGTCCGCGGAGGTGTCGCGGACAAGAGCCAAGCACCCCCAGACACGAAACCTCGACGCGACACCAGGGGACCCTGTCCAAAGACTGGTCGGTGAAGCCTCCGGCCGAGAGACGCGTGGCCAGAGGTTCAGCTGGTGCGCGGCGTACCTGACTGCGTATGGCCACAGGAAATGGGGGGCACGGGCGTGAGTCAAGGAGGTGCGGGCAATCTCCATGACCAGGCCTATGCGACACTCAGCAACCCCATTCTGCTGTGGGGACTCCGGAAGCGTCCAGGACTGACGAATGCCCTGTTCGCGACAGAATCCAGCGAGAATGCCGGAGCGAAACTCGCCCCCGCGGTCGGAGTGGAGACAGCTGACACGACGACCACGAGTGTCCTGGGTGGTAAGCAACCACCTGATCAGTGTAGAAGTCACCTCAGACTTCCTCGCCAGGGGGAACACTGTGGTGTAGCGGGAGTAGTCGTCAACGACCACAAAAAAGAAACGCTCACGCTCAGGGCCAGGGCGAGGAGAGGGGCCCCAGACGTCCAAGTGCAGCGTCTCAAAAGGCTCGGTGGCCGGACGAAGGGAGGAGGAGTGAGGGGTGGCACGCAGCCTACCCTCGACGCAAGGACCGCACGGTGGTGCAAGGGACGGCGGCAGCGACGGCAAGACACGCGGGAGACCTAAGACCAGACGCTGACTAGACATAGCACGCAGACGTGGAAGAGAAGGGTGTCCCATCCGGTGGTGCCACAGAACGGTGGGGTGGGCAAGCGACCGACAGGAGCAAGACGCAGCGACTGGACTGGACGCGACAACCTGAGGGGACGGAACCACCTGGTGAGACGCAGGGAGGAGACTAGGGGGAGGGACAGGAACTGGGAGGAGTGGCTGCTGCGACAGCGGCCACTGTGGCTGCGGCTGCTGCCGCTGCTGCTGCTGCGGCTGCTGCTGCTGCTGCGGCTGCTGCTGCTGCTGCAGTCGCTGCTGAGCGCGCGGGCCAGTGTGAAGAGTGTAGAGACCGGAGCCCGGCTCAGCAGCAAAAGTGGCGAGGGGCTGGTAAGAGTCCCCGTCAACACACACCGCAGTCTCTCCAGAAGGCTCAAACCACACACCCACGTGCTGACTCACGAGGGGTCGCACGCCCACCAAGTTCCGGGAGAACGAGGGGACGTGAAACCCAGTGAGAGACCCAGAAGGAGCAGCCGGACACGGCAAGGTGGTAGTGTGACGCGCGGTGACTGGTCCCGAAGTGGGATCAGCCAGCGCCACAGAAACAGGCGCAGGAAGAGGCGTAAGTGTCGTGCTGTCACGAAAGAAGCAGTGAGAGGCTCCAGAGTCCAGCGTGAACGACAGCGAACCGTCCTCTGAGGTAGCCGCTGGACTAGAGTCTACACAAGAACCTACACTAGCAACAGGCAACTGAGCAAGGCTAGCACCTAAGCTAACAACACCAGAGTAAGCAGAGTCAGAAACACTAGAGTCAACAACAGCATACATAGCATGGGGAGTACCAATCAGATCAACTAACTGCTCAGCAGACATGCCCCACAGAGCGGAGCCGTAGCGCTGAACAAGAGGCAGCCAGTCAGGGGCAGGAGCACCAACCCCGTAGACCAAACGAACCGTGTCAGTGAGCTGAGCAAAGCACTGACCAGGGGGGTGAAACCGGCCACAAGGGTGGCCACGACGAGGGCCTGTCAGAACCTGGTAGGTGCAGGGAGTGTAAGCAGCACCACGCTGGGTCTGACGCAGCCCCGACCCTGGAGCCAGCTGCTGCCGCTGCTGCTGCTGAGGCTGCTGGGAGGAGAGGGGCTGCTGGTGCTGCAGAAGCTGCTGCTGACGCTGAGCCTGGTACCACGCCGCTGCTCCACCAACCGGGGCAGGAAGTACAGGAGGCGACTGACGAACTCGGGCGTCGCCACCACTAGCAGGCGCAGTGGAGTCACCAGTCACTGCACGAGGCGCCTCTCCAGGCCCTGAACCTCCACCGCCGCCAGGCGCAACGCCACCTCCACTACCTCCGCCTCCACCTCCACTACCACCACCAGAACCGCCTTTCTTGCCACTCCTACCGCGGGACCGCGACGCAGTCGTAACAGCAGCTGCAGTCGCGTCAGTAGCGGCAGTGGCAAGTGAGGCAGTAAAGGTGGGTAACTGCGGGACTGTGCACCCGTGGAAGAGTGGGGGGGGCACAGCACCAGAGGCAGCGGCTACCGAGCGAAGGTTGCTCTCGACGTCCTTGAGTGTAGACTCAAGGACATCGACGGTGAGCTCACTAGGGTGCTTCAGCAGAAGCGCGTCGCGAACGGAGGCAAGGCGGTCAGGGAGGCTAGTGGCGATGAAATAGATAGTAATCGCCATAGGGGGAGGAAGCAGTGCAAGCTGTGCCTCAGTGCAAGCAGCGCGGTAACTAGCGTCGAGCGAGCGGAGGTGAGCGATCAAGTCAGCAGAGCGGTGCGAACCTGAGTGAAGTGGACCTCCTCTGACTCAGGGAGGAGGCTGCTGAGTGCGATGCAGGCCGCAGCGTCACGCGACGTCCAAGCCGTCCTGTCAGCGCGCTGACGGGCAAAGCGAGCCGTAGCAGCATCGTCAGGGGCAGGACCTAAAGCGGCAGGCTCGGGGGGCTCGGGGAGGTCACCAGTAGCGTGCGACCAGAGGGTCTCGCCCCCCTGGACTTGACTCTCTAACAGACGGCGAGCGCGAAGAAGCCAGACGGAAAAGTCAAGAGGTCTACCGTCAGCGTCGAAACGAAGAACTCGCGGAGTCGCCATAGCGAGAACTAACGCGAACGAGCAGGCGAGTAACAGCAGGAGGTAAGAGGCAAATTAGGGTTCAGGTGGGGGGGGGGGGGGGAGACTTAGTCGCAGCGGAAGAACGGGCTAGGGCGACGGGCCAGGGCGTAGGGTCGACGGGACGGGGGAAAGGGCGGGCGCGATGCGACGGGGCAGGGCGACGCGACGGGGCAGGGCGACGCGACGGAGCAGAGGCGACGGGACGGGGAAGGGCGACGCGACGGGGCAGGGCGACGCGACGGGGCAGGGCGACGGGACGGGGAAGGGCGACGGGACGGGGCAGGGCGACGCGACGAGGCAGGGCGACGGGACGGGGCAGGGCGACGTGACGGGGGGAAAGGGCGCGACGCGACGGGGGGAAAGGGCGCGACGCGACGGGGGGAAAGAGCGCGACGCGACGGGGGGAAAAGGGCGCGACTCGACTGGGGGGAAAGGGCGCGACGCGACGGGGGGAAAGGGACGCGACGAGGGGGAAAGGGCGGGCAGGACGCGACGCTAGGAGTGGCGCTAGGCGCGGCACTACGCGCGGTAACAACGGAACCGGGACGAATGAGAGCTAGGATCAGGCTCGGGAGGCTCGAACGGAGAACGGAGGAACGGGATCCCACAGGATCCTAACCTAACTGATACCATGTCAGAATGAAGAATGGGTGATGCATTGATGTTGGTTGGGGTACATATAGCTAACCCTAAGTTTTGTACCCCCTAAGACAAACCTCACTATAGGCTACAACATTTGACATATCTGGTAACGTAGCATCTCATGTTCTTGCTTTGTGTTGATTGGCGGGTCACACTCTAGCAGTACTTCCCGCCAGACTGACGCACACATTTCAAACCCCTGAGGACCTCGAGGCGCGAGCACAGTTGGGGGGCAGAGCAGAGAGGCAGAGTGGGCGAGATGAGATCGAGGGACACGCGCCAGCGAGCCAAGTGCTGCTCCGATTCCTCCGATTGCTCCGATTTTCCCTCGCTGGGCCGCCAGGAATGCCTTCACCATCCCAAGGTTCACCAGGAACTTCTCTCATCACAAGGTCCCCGTCACCATCCCATTCATTCCCCACACGTCGAATTCTACCGCACTACTGATAGTGCAAGATTTTTCTTCCGTTCGCAAAGAAACTACTTCCATCCGAACCGCACACGAGCGGCATACGGAGGATGGGCGATATTCAGAAGCGTGCGTTGCAAGACATATCGAACGAACTTACTCAGCTGACGACGTAGGAACTTCCCGCATATTCTTCCGTGGCATGTCGTTCATTTCCGGCCCTTATTCAGCCTCGATTCAGAAACTGTCGTTTCGCCGATTAAATTCTCCCCTTCTGTGCTCTCCCGCGGACCTCCTAGTCTCCGTCGCGCAGTCAGCCACCGCCGCTCTGCCTCGCCGCTGCTCCGCCGTTCTGTTGATCGCTTCTCCGCTCAGCTCGCGCTGTCGCTTCCGCCGTCGCTGCTGTTCCACATCGTTTCTCATTCCCGACTGACGCTCTTCCCGTCGCCCCCCTCGCCATGTGCGAGCATCGCAGAGAGCGCGAGGAGCGGCTGAAGGCCGCGCGAGCGAGCGCGGATGTTGCCGTGGAGTCGAGCGAGGTCAGCGGTCAGGTGGGCAAGAGAGCGTCGCGCGAGGTCAGCGGTCAGGTGGGCAAGAGAGAGTCGAGCGAGGTCAGCGGTCAGGTGGGCAAGAGAGAGTCGCGCGAGGTCAGCGGTCAGGTGGGCAAGAGAGAGTCGCGCGAGGTCAGCGGTCAGGTGGGCAAGAGAGCGTCGCGCGAGGTCAGCGGTCAGGTGGGCAAGAGAGAGTCGCGCGAGGTCAGCGGTCAGGTGGGCAAGAGAGCGTCGCGCGAGGTCAGCGGTCAGGTGGGCAAGAGAGCGTCGCGCGAGGTCAGCGGTCAGGTGGGCAAGAGAGCGTCGCGCGAGCTCAGCAGTCAGGTGGGCAAGAGAGCGTCGCGCGAGGTCAGCGGTCAGGTGGGCAAGAGAGAGTCGCGCGAGGTCAGCGGTCAGGTGGGCAAGAGAGAGTCGCGCGAGGTCAGCGGTCAGGTGGGCAAGAGAGAGTCGCGCGAGGTCAGCGGTCAGGTGGGCAAGAGAGAGTCGCGCGAGGTCAGCGGTCAGGTGGGCAAGAGAGAGTCGCGCGAGGTCAGCGGTCAGGTGGGCAAGAGAGCGTCGCGCGAGGTCAGCGGCCAGGTGGGCAAGAGAGAGTCGCGCGAGGTCAGTGGTCAGCTGGGCAAGAGAGAGTCGCGCGAGGTCAGCGGTCAGGTGGGCAAGAGAGAGTCGCGCGAGGTCAGCGGTCAGGTGGGCAAGAGAGAGTTGCGCGAGGTCAGCGGTCAGGTGGGCAAGAGAGAGTCGCGCGAGGTCAGCGGTCAGGTGGGCAAGAGAGAGTCGCGCGAGGTCAGCGGTCAGGTGGGCAAGAGAGAGTCGCGCGAGGTCAGCGGTCAGGTGGGCAAGAGAGCGTCGCGCGAGGTCAGCGGTCAGGTGGGCAAGAGAGAGTCGCGCGAGGTCAGCGGTCAGGTGGGCAAGAGAGAGTCGCGCGAGGTCCGCGGTCAGGTGGGCAAGAGGGAAATGGGCGTGAAGAATCACCTTGCACGTTGGTCGTTTCTCTTCTCCGCTCATCACGCTGCGCGTCCTCTATCATTCGTCCGCCATCGTCACCTCTCATGCGCGCCTGAATCGTGTACTCTGAATGCTTCGATCCTGTACCCTGTATGGAATGTTTCGACAGGCGGCAGTAAAGCGGCTGCAGACGAGTTTCGTGGCGAGCGGCGTGAGCGCGGCGCTGCTGCGCTACCTGAGCGACTCGGGGCCGCTGCTGCTGCGGGACTCGTGGGAGCTGCCGGGCAGCCACGCCGACGCCGGTGAGCGGAGAGGCGCGACGCCGGTGAGCGGAGAGGCACGAAGAGCACGCGCTGCCCTGCTGCCGCGCGACGGGTCGCATGCTCGCATAGCTGCGAGGCGTCGTCGCAGCTCTCGTCGTCCACGGCGGGCGAGCGCTTCAGCGACGCACTGCCAGAATGAGGCGCGCTGCGAAACACTGAGCAAGCGAACACGAGGCACGAGGCACGAGGCACGAGGCATCGTAGCGGGATGACGCGGACTGACGAGCCACTCGCTTGTCCTCCCACCCCGCATCCTTCTCCTACTGTCTTTCCGCCCTCGTCCCCCCCCCTCGTTTCTCCGCCGCGTCTCACCACCTCGACTCCTCCCCGTCGACTTCCCCCCTCGACTTCGACTTTCCCCCTCAAACACCCCCCCTTGTCTTCCCCCCTTGTCTTCCCCCGTTGTCTTCCCCCCTCGTCTCCCGATTCTATCTTCCTGAACCTGGCACGTCGTATGCGCTGATCCCCTGCGACCACCAGAGGCGGCACGGCAGCAGCTCAAGGCGGCCAACTGCGATGCACAGGCGATCGCAGACGAGAGGTGCGACGCCCTGCGACAGGCGTGCGAGCAGCTGGGGCAAGGTGAGCAGCTGGCAATGTGTGCCGCATGGCAGTGTGTGGCAAGGTGAGCAGTGGCGATGCCATGCAGCTGGCAATGTGTGCTGCATGGCATCGCCGCCAGTGCAGCCATGTGTATGCTCGTACCCACATTCCGATTCCCCACCTCCCATCCTTGCGCCCCATTGGTCCACGTGGCAGAAGAGGAGAGGATGGAGGAGCTCCATCTGGACGACCAGCTCAGCGCGCTCTCCAACGAGGTGCGCCTCTTTCGGTGGCCTCTGCTCCTCTGCTCGCTTCTCCACTGCCCCCTCCTCCATTCCCCCCTCCTCCATTCCCCCACCCTCCATTTCCCCACCCTCCATTCGCCTCTGCTCCATTGCTCGCTGCTCCATTGCTCGCTGCTCCATTGCTCGCTGCTCCCCTGATTGCTGCCCCCTGCTCCACTTCCCCCTGCTCCACTTCCCCCTGCTCCACTTCCCCCTGCTCCACTTCCCCCTGCTCCACTTCCCCCTGCTCCACTTCCCCCTGCTCCACTTCCCCCTGCTCCACTTCCCCTTGCTCCACTTCCCCCTGCTCCACTTCCCCCTGCTCCACTTCCCCCTGCTCCACTTCCCCCTGCTCCACTTCCCCCTGCTCTACTGCCCCCTGCTCTACTGCCCCCTGCTCTACTGCCCCCTGCTCCATTGCTCGCTGCTCCGGCCTCATCACTGCTTCTCTCTTCCCCCCTCTCCGCGTGGCAGCTGGCAGCGCTGGAGGCGGCAGAGGCGACGCTGCAGCAGGCGGAGGGGGCGGCGGGACAGGCCACGTGCAGCATACAGGGCGAGGACTCCGAGGTGCGGGCTGGGTGTGGGAACACGGGGCTGGGGTGAGGGGAGGGTGTGGGCGCACGGGTGTTGGGATGATGGGAGGGTGTGGGCGCAGAGGGCTGGGGTGGCGATGGCAGAGGGTCGTGGCAACGGCAACTGGAGGGGAATGGCGGAAAGGCAAGAATGTAGTGGCAGCAGAAGCAAGACTTGGAAAATGGAGGCGCATGAATGAGTCAGAGGAAGCAGTGGGTTGCATGAGGGCGGTATGGCTCTCTGTAAGTGGTCAGCTCTTGGTGCTCGCTCCCTCAAGCACCTTATCACCCTGCTGCTCACACCATCCCTCCTGCTGCTCACACCATCCCTCCTGCTGCCCCTCTCCCCTCTCGTCGTGCCCACCACCAGGCGGCACAAGTTGAGGCGCTCACCCGTGTGAAGGCAGAACTGGCGGCGTCGCTGCAGCGCTGCGCCGCCGCTGAGGGGCTCTCCTCGCACCTCGCTGCTGCTGCAGCTGCTGCTGCTGCCACACAAGCGGTGAGAAACAGGTGCTGCTGCCACACTGTTGATTTACGTGCCTCCCCTGCCTCCCTTGTCCCCCATACCTGCCATGCATGCCATGCACGTTGGGTCTCACGGTGCATCTGCTCTGCCTCTGTGCTGCCCCTTCTCCCCGGCACAGAGGGAGGAGCAGCGGCGCCCAGCAGAGAGGTGCACGAGGAGTGGCGGGTGAGTTGCTGCCACCCACGGAGTGCGCGTGGCAGCGGGTGTGCATGGGTGCGCGTGGCAGCGGGTGTGCATGGGTGCGCTTGGCCACATGCCGCTCGCTGCAGCATGCGCCTGTGGATAGGAACCCTAAGCATGCCGCTCAACCTAAACCCTAAGCATGCCGCTCAACCTAATCCCTAAGCATTCCGCTCAACCTAAACCCTAAGCATGCCGCTCAACCTAAACCCTCTTGCTCTCATGCTCGTGCTTTCATCCTTTGCCTTTCCGTCCTACCACACTTGCTGCTATTTCAAACCTCGTTGCTCTCATCATTCTGTCGCACTCTCCTTCAAGCCGTCCACCCTCTCAGTCAACCCGCCCTTGCCCCCTCTTTCCCCTCCCGTCCACGCACCCACTGCCCTGCTCGCCCCTCGCCCCTCGCCCCTTGCCCCCATGCTGCAGCCCATCACCCACCACCACCACCCCCACTACCACCGGCACCAGCACCACCAGCAACTCCCAGCAGCTGGCAGAGCAAGGCAGCGAGGCACAGGCAGCAGTGCAGCAGCTGGCGGCGCTGCTGTGCCCCGCCGCCCTCACCACCCAGACTGCCCGCTCCCTCTCTCTGCGCCTCCCCCTCCCCTCCCCCCACTCGCTTCTGAGCCCGCCACTCGAGCGTGAGGCAGCTGCTTCAGGCAGTGCAGCAGCACGCGCGTGTGGCGCTGCCACTGGAAAGGCAGGGCTGGCTGGCGTGGTGTGGGGCAGTGCAGGGGAGGGCGGCATGGGGGAGGAGCGCAGTGCGACAGTGGAGGTGGCTGTGCTGCCTGGGGGCCGCGTTGCTGCTGCATCCATTGTGAGCCGCCTCTCACCACTGCTGCCATGCGCCCTTCCTCTCCGCCCTCCCATCCGCTGCCTGCCTGCCTCCTTCCCCACCTTTCAATGCCACACCCTCACATCACTGCCCACCTTGTGTGCTTCGTTTCTGGGAACATTCAGAAATATACATCTCCGTTTATACATCTCCGTTTATACATCTCCGTTTATACATCTCCATTAATACATCTCCGTTTATACATCTCCGTTTATACATCTCCGTTTATACATCTCCGTTTATACATCTCCGTTTATACATCTCCGTTTATACATCTCCGTTTATACATCTCCGTTTATACATCTCCGTTTATACATCTCCGTTTATACATCTCCGTTTATACATCTCCGTTTATACATCTCCGTTTATACATCTCCGTTTATACATCTCCGTTTATACATCGTATAGTGCCCCCATCGCCACTGAGTCAGATCCCCCTTCCCATGCGCCCTTTCCTCCCCACCTGCTCATGAGATCTGCACGCCCCTCTGCCCTCATCGGCACGGCATCAATCCCCATCCCATGCCATGCGCCCTCTCCTCCCCACCCTGCACTGCACTGCAGCACGCCCCAGGACTCCCCCACCGCTCGCTCCCTCTGCACCCCACCCATGCTGCTCACAGGTGCGCTTCCCATGCCATATTTTGCCATACCATGCCATGTCGTCGCATGCCATGCCATGTTATGCCATCCCATGCCATGCCATCCCATGCCATGCCATGAGCCCCCTCCTCTTCTCCCATGCACACACCTCGACTCTGCTTTCACCGCATGGCATGGGCTCCACCCACTGCCTCTACACCACGCCACACCGCATGCGTCTCCCCCTCTGCCTCTCTCACAGCGCCACAGGGGCCGACCAGCAGGCCCCAGGAGGAGCACGAGTGCCGGTGGTGGCAGCGGTGGCGGAGGCGGCCTGTCTGCTGCGCCTGCTGTCGCTGCGCCGCGCGCACATGGCACATGCCCTCGCCACCGCGCCCTTCCCGCCCCGGTATGCCACTTGCGCTCCACCTCCTTCGCTCCACATCCTTGCGCTCCACCTCCTTGCGCTCCACCTCCTTGCGCTCCACCTCCTTGCGCTCCACCTCCTTGCTCGGCTCAACATGCTTCAAGAGCCTTCATGCCATGTGAACAGCATCCACCTCTTTCCCGCCATGCCTTGTGCCCATCGCCCTCCTTCCCCTGCTCAATAAGCTTCAGGAACCCGTCAAGCAAACATATCTGTCTCACTATTGCCGTACCTGTTGCGTCCACCTTGTGTCGTTGCCTGCCGTGCTGCATGGGAGCGCAGGTACATGGTGGAGATGGCGGGGGAGGGCGCCTTCAAGGTCAAGTGGGCCAACGGGGCCACGCTCACCCTCACCGCCTGCAACGACTGGCCAATGCCGGGCGGCCACCTGGCAGTGGCTGACGTGGAGCTGCCTCACACAGAGCAGTCAGGCGAGGAGAGGCAGCAGCTTCTCTCGCTGCTCTCCACCGCCGTGGTGAGCTGAATGCACTGCTCACCGCGTCCGTTGCTGGGTGCCTCTAAGCACACCACCCCGCTTGCTTGTGTGTGCATGGTATTGGACCTTGAGCTTGTGGCATCATGCTATCTGTCTAAGAGCTCATTGCTCTCCTTCCCCCTCCCCCTGCGCCATGGCAGGGCGACGCGCAGCAGCAGGACGGCGCACCTCCACCCCCGTCAGCCCTGGGCGGTGTGATAGCAGCGGCAGGGGCATGCCTGCGCAAGGCCATGATGGTGACGCTCAAGACCACTTGATGCCATGCTGACGCGGTGCCATGATGATGTGGTAGCATGCTGACGTGGTGGCATGATGATGTGGTAGCATGCTGAGGTGGTGGCATGCTGGCGTGGTGGCATGCTGACGTGGTGGCATGCTGACGTGGTAGCATGCTTACGTGGTGACATGCTGACGTGGTAGCATGCTGACGTGGTGACATGCTGACACATTAAGGGATGAGCGGGCGTGGTGTGGTCAGCTTGTTGTACTCTCACACGAAAGCTGGTGCTGTGCTGCTGCTGGTGATGGTACTTGTGGATACATGCACGGGGAGAGAATGTGAAAGCGTGAGGAGCATTGGCATGGTAGGTGCGGTGAAGTGGTAGCAGGGGCTGTGATACCTCATCAGGTGCTGTGATACCTCATCAGGTGCTGTGATACCTCATCAGGTGCTGTGATACCTCATCAGGTGCTGTGATACCTCATCAGGTGCTGTGATACCTCATCAGGTGCTGTGATATCTCATCAGGTGCTGTGATACCTCATCAGGTGCTGTGATACCTCATCAGGTGCTGTGATATCTCATCAGGTGCTGTGATACCTCATCAGGTGCTGTGATACCTCATCAGGTGCTGTGATACCTCATCAGGTGCTGTGATATCTCATCAGGTGCTGTGATACCTCATCAGGTGCTGTGATATCTCATCAGGTGCTGTGATACCTCATCAGGTGCTGTGATACCTCATCAGGTGCTGTGATACCTCATCCGTGCACCTGTGCACCAGCACCCACACCACACGCACTCCCCTGCTGCATTGCACACTCAGTGCTCATCAGTAGTTTGACTTTGTTGGAAATCCGAATGCAGTATAACGAATATTGTGTACCAGTATGCTGTTCGGTTTTAGTGTAGTCCCCTTTATAAGCCTGCAGGGCCTACAATAATTGTCAGAATTATTGTAGGGCCACAATTTTTGGAGCTCAACATTATTGGAGGGTAGAGGTAGAATTATTGGTACCGTCATACCCCGGATAGAAGCGCCTGTTACGAATAGTAATACCCGGAAGTTACTATGCACTCCTTACCGCAGCAAAGAGAAGCGTGCAGTATCGAGAACGAACGCGAAGAGTCAGACAGTCAAGAATTGACTCGAAGCATCAGACGGTTACAGCACATCTAGACCGTCGGAGCAGAAGGCATCGGACAGCTGCCGGCAGGATGGCTTTGGCGGGAATAGTTTTGTAACTGTACGCGCCGCACGGTTGAATGTATTTGAATAAGGGAATGTACCCCTTAGAGTACATGGCTAGCTAGGACGTTTCGCCTTCCCTGTACTCATATTTATATCGTTGTATTTGCATGTTTTAATTCATCTCAAGCATTTTACATTCACTCTGCTATTGAGGTCAAGGGCCCACCAACACTACCTTACTGCGTGCGAACCTTCCCGAGCAGATCCTAGGAACGATCAACTTATGATCGTAGCATGGTATGAGAGCGGCTCGGGAATCCTTCGCACTGCCACTCCCGAAAATTGCGACATTCGGAAAGTGGCGTCCGGCACACGATCGCGTGTGAGAATGGCCGGAGGATCTGGTGGTCAGACTAATCTGACGGCTGAAGCGCAACCCAACCCGGCTGCGACAAGCGAGAACACGACGACGATCGGCACCGAAGTCCTCGCACAACTACTTCAGCGACTCACCAGCCTGGAGCAAGGGCTCCAAACATTGCGAAGCGGCGATGCGGGAACATCCTCGCAACCATCTCAACCGACCCCGACTGGGCAGAACGCCGTCCCGCAAACTTTCTCCCTCGACACAAATGGCTCAACCCCCAAAGCTCCCCGTCCCAGTGAAGAGGCAATTCTTTCTGCTCAATCAAGGTTTCTCAGCATATCAAAAATAAAGACAAGTACCTGTTTTGACGGCAGAGACTTCTATACCTGGAGCTTCGAACTAGAGCTCCTGCTGCAGAACGCCCAAATCTTCCATTACTTCGACGGGAGCTACGCGGAGCCCGCTGAGGACACCAACGACGCCAGGACTCGCTACTACAACGAGTCTCTGATGGCGTACGGAGTCCTCCTGCGCAACATGTCGCCGGCGGAGCAGCTCAACATTCGTTCATACAAGACCTCGGCTGCTCCAGCCCTCGACGCCTGGCGCCACCTGAACGGCGTGTATCAGCCGAAGGACTCCGTTTCCTCGAGCCGACTGCTTCAGCAGCTGCTGGAGACCAAAATGGTCTCAGGGGAGAAGGTCAACAGCTACATCAATCGCTGTCGGAGCCTTCGCGACCAAATCGTGAAGCTAGGAAGCTCGATCTCCGAAGAAATCTTCGTGAACATCGTGCTTCAAGGGCTTGGCCCAGAGTGGCGGCCCTGTAAGGCGCTTCTCCGACAGCAGGGGGTCATCTCGGAGGCCGCCCTCTGCGCCGCACTTCTCGTCGAACAACGGGATATGGATCAGCAGCGACCAGCGCCACGACGAGAAAGAGAACGGCTCGCCTTCTACGCCGACAACAACGAAGAGCGACGGCCGAGGCGCCTCTACTGCAAAATCTGCAGGAACTTTGGGCATTTGGCGGATCGATGCAAGTACCGATCCCGCCCTCGCCAGACCAATCCGAGCAACTGGTCCGGCCGACAAGACGCACGAGGCGACGTGCGTCCAGCCCAGGGGTATCAACCCCCAACCGCGCGCAACCTGAACCCAACGGTTCAGCATCAGCAGCAGCAGCCACCATCGACTGCCCCAGTACGTAACGTCATGAGCAACATGGCCATGACAGGCGAATCGCGTCGTCGCCGCGTGCGCTCACCTTCACCTGAGCCCGCACCGCACCCCATTGGCGCGTTCAACAACAACAACCCTTTTGAGCCCGCTCCACGACTTCAACGACGACGACGCCCAGGACTGGAATCTCCCAGTCCCGCTGCTTGAAAGTCCCCCGCACGTACCTGATATGCGGGTGGCGCCACTTGACTGGCTCTCGCGCGAGCAATTTCTGAAGTTCGACACTCCGCACATCGTCACGCCGCGACTGGCGCTGCTCGCACGTGACGACAACAAGCGCTTCAACACCTGGTACCTGGATAGCTGCTGCGGCCAGCATATGGTGGGCTCCGAGCGTTACATATCCAACGTCGTCTCCACCCCGACAGTCACCTACGTCACCGTGGCTAACAACACACGCCTGCGCGCAAGTGCGCAAGGCATCGTCGTGCTCAAGGCACGCGGAAGCCGCACGCACATCACATCGTCCAGAACCTGCGCTTTAACTTGCTTTCCGCCGCACAGCTCATGGACTGCGGCGTCGAACTCAGCACGGATCGCGCGACGCGCGACATCTTGTTGCACTACGAGTCCCAAAACTTCCCCGCAGGCAGATCGGACGAGCACACTCCGAAAATGGAGTGTATGTCCTGGACTTCGACATCCCCGACTGCAGCGGCGATTCGCACGAGTTAATCGACCTCGTGCCACTACGCTTCGAGCACATCCACCGCAGGGACTGGAAGCACCCTGACGGAAGACCGTGGGTGCCGCACCATCCCCACCCACGCAAAACGACGCTGCACGACCCCGACACAGACGGCATCTGCAAGGATTGCCACACGCCGACGACCTCGACGAGCGCGATTGCAGGCCGCGGACTGGCCGCCATCGCCGAAGCAGAAGTCCACGCGCCGCCAGAAGAAGGCATGTCTCAATTGGAACTCGAAGTCACCACGCGTGGCGTGTTCGGCACGCCTGAGCACCCTCTCATCGGTCCCCCCTCTCAACACCTTCAACGGATGCTCCGCGGAACTGGGGTCGGCACCTTCGATGCGCGTGGCGTGCCACGCCCCTACACCCGCGAGGAATTTCTACAGATTTACCCCCACTGGCGCGACCCCACGGCAAAACTCACCGTGGAACAGGAGGAAGAATTGGCGCGCCGCGAAGCAGAAGAGCTTCGCCAACAGAGCCTCGCCGAGGCACGCGGAACATTCGCTTGCGCCGCATGGGGCGCCGAAGCAGAAGAAAGCGCCTCCAATGAAGGGGGGTGGGGGAGCGCCAGCGGATGGGGAACGACAGATACCAGCGGATGGGGCAACACCGGCGGAACCTGGGCAACCGCAACCGGCGGATGGGGCGCCGCATCTGGCGGCGAAACGAGCGGCTGGGGCGCCTCTGCTGGAGGCTGGGAGACTTCCCGCGAAGAACAAAAGGGGGGAGAATCTGCAGTTGTTCCCCTCGGGCGTCCCCCGCGCCATATCCTACCCGCGTCAACTCCCCCCGACATTCCGCCGCACCGCGACCCATGGGATACCATCGCCTGGGGTAACAAGCCGTCAACCCCGCGTCGCACCGTCTACGGACCTGCCCCTGAGCCACGCGAACCCACCTTCGTCCCTGGAACCATCCCTGGGACCAACATCCCGCTCTCTGAGATCCGCGACAGAGAGTTCCTGGCGCTGATGCTGACCACCGCGGCAGCAGGAGAAGCAGCAGCAGAACCCGCCACCGTACCTGACGAAGACCCCGAGGAAGCTCGCACGCGCTACATGCGCACTTCCGGCTTTCGCGCTGACGATGCACTTTGGCACCAGCGCCTCGGACATCCTTCACGCGCGACGCTGAAAAACTGCATCGACGCAGGCGTCTTCGCTCCTGGCGCACTCCTGCGCCCTGACGGCACTGAAGTGAGAGGCGCGACACACCCGCGCAACTGCACCGTCTGCCCCGAAGCTGCGCTGAGCCACCAACCGTTCCCGCTGCTCGAGCCTGGGACAAATCACTACCTCGAGCTGTATAAGGTGTACAGCGACTTCCTGAACGTGGGGCACTGCGGAGTCGACGACGAGCTGTACACACTTACCTTCATCGACGCCGGAACGCGCTACGTGTGGGTCGTGAACGTCGAATCACCCGACTGAGCCTACGAGGTGTTCCGCCTCTGGCTAGCACACGCGCAGCGGCAATCCGGGGAGAAACTGAAAATCTGGCAATCTGACGGCGCGGCAGAATTCAGGAGCAACCAGATGCAGAC